TTTTGCATGACCTAATAATTTATTCTCTTTCTTGCTGTATTAAAAAAAAAAAAAAAATACTATAAAATATTTTTCATTTATTTACACGCAATTTCATTTTATTTCATTTGCTATGCGATTCCATTTTCAAAGGTGTAGTTCGACTTTCAATTGTTATTTTGCATGACCTAATAATTCATTCTCTCTTTTATTTTTCTGTATGTGTCAAACAATGCGGCGTTTCCACGCGCTTAACACAATCCATGCTCTTAACGCATAAAATATAGAAAGCAGAAATCTAATTAAAACAGAAGAAAACCTATGCACCGTCCATCAACGTGTTAACTTGAAATTCCTCTTCACTTTCATCGTACGTCCATCAACGTACGCCGTGGCTACGTATCACGGAGCATCGTGCACCGTAAGTCGTCATTAAATTTACTATTCCATAATATATTCAAAAGGTAATGTAGGCACGCTAAGCTGATCGGTGCATACACGATGCATAGATAGCATAGGTATCGAACCGTGTCGTTGCACACATCCTTTTACATACGTGCAAATATAGTTTACCTACGTATTCACGTGCTTATCGATGGAGCGGAATATATGCCAAATCGATGGTGAGCCACAGTTTATTTCTTCCTTGTTCTTCTCCTCTCTTTCACGTACGTGACATGACGACACACGTGGTTGACACACTGCCACATCAGGCACACGTGCATGCTACGTGCAGGTAGAACTTTTACCTACGTATGCAGATATTTACGAGCGTATGATTCACGGTAGATACGTTATCGTTTGTAAGTATGCGGGCACATTACTTCGACTCGTGATAACAATGATTCGCTGTTTCCTTAGATTCGTTGGCTTTTACAGGATAAAAAACAAAAAAAAAAAAAAAGAAAAATAAAAGGTACAGAGCATCGACAAATTAAGCAGTAACAGTTAAGAACTATACTGGTCTGATCGATATTTTTTCTACGAAGCGGAATGCTAAAAAAGAATTTTGGATTAAAGGTATTCAAAAAAGAAATACCATTGACTAGGAGGTATACATTTAAGTAAATGTAACTGATAGTTCGGACTATTATATAGCAAAGGGGAAAAAAAAGA